TGTACCTCGAGCCAAAGTAACGGTGTTAGAGTCCTTCATGTTGACTGCTATTTAGCCTATTTAGCCTATTTTTAACATTGCGAGGTAGAGCTGTTTCAATTTTGCGCCTCCTCATGTAGGTGGAAAAGGGGTTGTTGTGGTGACAGTGTCGACACCCGTTTCCTCCCCTCCGACCTTCGCATATGCTATCCCCTTTTTGCTTCTTTTCTGTGACAGAGAGGGAAGGTTTGGGGGTACACATCCCATGTGCAGGGAAGGCTGCAGGGTACACATCCCATGTGGAGGGAAGGTTTCAGGGTACACATCAGGTTCGAGGGTACACATCCCATGTGGCCGAGTAGCTTACACAGTACTACACACATCACGTGTTCAAATCTTGAGAAAAGGAGTTGGTTAGGTCACTTAGGTGGCGTGTTGTTTGGCATTGGCAGACAAATGGGTCACTCTCATCTACATGCATTATGAAATGTGGAATCAACACAAGCTGGCTGTGGTTCCTGTCATTTTGAAGAAAGCGATCCCACAAGAGATTGGGGAATTAGAACAGTTACATGTGTGTACTGTTCATCCACCTAGCAGGTACACTAGCTGCAGTTCTCTTTTTTTTTTTTCTTTTTTTGTTATTGGCTGCATTCCTCACCCTCCTGAATGACCAATGTCTTAAGTCCAGTTGCATTGTCAGGGCATTTACCTGCTCAGGCTATGCCTAGGCCACTCGTGGGTGCCCCACGTTCTTCTCCCCTCCGTCTTTACTTTCCCACCCTGCTTTTTCCCTTCCGTCCTTTTAGGTTATGAATATCGGTGCATGTCAAAGCAGAGGCCTCAGAAGTCTGGCTAGCGCCCTGCTTAGTCCCATTCGTCGAGCGTACAACACACGAAGAAGTGTTCGTCGAGCGTACAACACACGAAGAAGTGTCCTTAACTCTCAAGTATGCGACGTGCTTGGTTTCRCGGTCCAAGTCCGTCGATTTAGGCTCCTTCCCCTCTGCCGGTAGGTGCGAAGTGTGGTAGGTACTACGAGCCCTCTGCCCCATTCGAAAAGAGATTCGAATGGTTCACCGGCTGCACGTACCTGGTCATTATAGTGGCCAAAAGCAGGCTGCATGTACCTGGTGGTAATAGTGGCCAAAGCTCGGGCTACCATATCAGGCAAACCATGGAGTTTGTGCCACTCCCCACCCGATTTCCCATGATGCTGTTTTCCTTCTATGTGTTGCTTCCAAATTGTTGCTCGAGAGACTTAGTGTGAACATCCTCGTTCTGGTGGTATGAGCATATTATGTCCCTGGTGATAAAGTGTTAAAAATAGCAGACAACATCATGGACTCGAAAACCAGTATTTTGCCTTTTCCTGTGCACCTCTTTCTTCTCTTTCCTGACTCTAGCTTCTGTTATGGTTTCTCTTTTACGTCTTCTATTAGCTCCCCCCTCCACTGTGCCTCTCGCATACAAGGCTCGCCACATTCATGTAGCTCAGCACACACTGCCTAAATCCCCATCTGCTGACAGGATGGGTATGTATGGGGTTAAACGGTCGCTGTACCCGCTCTACCCCACCTCCCCCTGTTCTACCCCGTTCTATGGTAGAGCATGCTCCGCTCTGGCATTTCATTGATCGCACCGAGCACAGGGGGGCGCGGACACGAGGTGCCACACTGCCACCCCAAGTGCTAGAACCAGAAAAGCAAACGGAAAAAAATTGTCCCACTGCAAACCCCACCAGGCCTGCCCCCCTTCTCCCAACACAACCCACCCCCACCCCTTACACCTTCCCCGATTCCCCAGCACCCCCTCTCCACCCGCAACCCACACATCTCCAAGCACCTCGAACATCCCCCCCCACGGCCCCTTAATTCCCCCACCTGGAGTATGTACTACGCTGCCGCTATTGCGCCTGCTGGCTCCCGCTCCCGCCGCCCTCGCCGTTGCTGCTCTCTCTCCCTCTCTCTCTCTCTCTCTCTCGCTCTCTCTTGCATGACGTGTCACCTGGCCACGCTGTCACGTGGCACCACAGTCCTGCGTTGAATCTTTCAACGCGCATTGCAAACGCGGTAAAAGGGCATTGAACCGTCAGTTTATTACGGTTCACAGCGACCCGCAAAGATTTTTCTCGCGGGCAAAAAATAAGAAACATAGGGTTGCAGAGCTTTTGGGGATCTACAAACTCGGATTTTTTATTTTATTTTTTTAACTTAATTTTTTTTTAAAGTTAAAATGTATTTTTTAAAATCAAAAACATAAAAATGAAGAAAAAAATTAAAAAACAAAAACAAAAACAAAAACGATGAAATGAGGGGGGGTTTCTTTTTTTCACAGAAATTTATTTTGTGGAGAAAAGATACGCAGAAAAACGGGAAACGAAATATAGGGTTGTAGATCTACCCCATAATTTTTATTTTGTTTTTGGAACTTGAATTATATTTTTTTTAATCAAAAACTTTAAAACAAGAAAAAAAGAAGAAAAAAAAAGATGATGAAATGGGTGTTTTTTATTTCCATATCATTTCGATGCAGGGTGTGTTGCAGCGGCTTTTGGTGTTCTTCGAGTACGGGTATTGATGATTTGGTAGAGTTTCCTTTGGAAGACAGTGGTCTTTGTGCAGGGGAGGGGCTCCACCCGAGGAAGCGGGACTGGAGATCTTCTGACCCCTGAGTTTGCAGCTCTCTGATAATGTGTTTCTGCCTTGGCCACTGGGCCCTAATTAAACGCCAGTTTTCATGAAATTTCTTGTTAAAAAAAAAAAGAAAAGGAGGGGGACGGAAAAAAAAGAACACATCCCTGCACACACACACACACACACACACACACACACACATGCTCGCACGCACGCGTGTGTGTATGTGTGTTGCCACACACACGGATAGACACACACACACATGCCCAGCGGGGGGGAAAGGTTCGGGGAGGAAGGGCTGTTGGGGGGTAGTGAGGGGTTGGTGGATGGTTGGGAGGGTGTAGGTGATGGTGTGGGAGGAGAAAGAAGCAGAACAACCGAAGTTCACAAGGTTCTGAAAACTCAGGTTGCACAGAAAAAGGAGCCGAGAAGCAGACGTCCCCTAGAATTTGATACCCCACAAGCGCCCCTCACGCCCTGGCAGACCGCACAGGACCGGTACAGGTATGGACTACAGAAGCACTGCAACCAATTCTCGCAGCCGGGTAGACAAAAGTCACAGCACATTGTCTCCCACATGCTAGGAACACAGAGGCACTCCGACGCAATCACACAGGCATGCCCATTCCCGCCCGTCTACAAGTAGGGCATACCATGTCCGGGGGTCGTCCACGACTACAATGTTGACTGTCATCATACGTGTGAAAACAAGGGCCTGCATGGGCTGTACCTTAAAAATCCTCGCAAGGCAAAGCATGCCAATCACATGCCAGCCTAATCTCATGTGGGGCATCACAGTGCAGCATTGAGAAAGTTTCTTGGGGTTCCACAACTGATATTCCCTCTTTATGGGCGGCGATGATGGACACTGATCCAAAGTAAGGGTGTTTTGTGGTCGCAAGACCTGGTCTGCAGCTTCCACTCTTGCAGCGATACTCTTCGAGTATGGTGCACTGTAGGTGGGTTCGTGTGAAAGTCTATTCTCCCCCCACGCCGCCGTGTCTGTTATTGATCTGGCAAGGATGGAGGGAGTTCGATTACAAATGTGGACGGAGGATGCCCAACGTTACATCTGGGACATGAACAGAGAGGATGTGATGTCGCCGGTGAGGGTATCGGGGACAGTCCACACAGTAGCGGTGCATACTCTCCATGAAAGCCTCCTGACATATGGCATGTTGCTGACATGCCAGTGGGAATGCAGGGTCGCGTTCGCGGTTATTCAAGCATATCGCACGTCAAGGC